AGGAGAGAGGGAAAGACAGAGAGAAACATAGATGTGAGAGAAACACATCGACTGGTTGCCTCCTGGGGAGGAGCCAACAACCAAAGTATGTGTGCCCTTGACCAGAATCAAACCCGGGACCCTTTGATCCGTAGGCGGACGCTCTATCCACTGAGCCAAACACGCTAGGGCATGAATACTATATTCTTGATCCTACTTTGCCATGATATTGGAGTTAGATTCAGAGTTTATTTCACTCTGGATACGGAACTAATTTTTACAGGCCACTACAAATCCATTAGGGAATAAAGGAGAGAATAAAACAAGTCACCTGGGCCTGGGTCATTTCCTTCTGTTTGGGGAAATGGCCAGCAGCTGGTATACTCGTCTTTGTCTTCTCTTGGTATGTCCTAAATTTCTAGTTAAAGATCTCACTCTCCAGTTGAAAGTGTTCCCAGAAAGGACAACATCGAGGTCCTGGAACCTCCTCTTTCTTCATTCTTTTCTTATCTCTTGTCAAAACCTATGGGATGAAGAGCAAGATTACGTTCAGGGTTACATTCCCCTTGCTACGCACTCACCTTAACACATGGTCCCCAGGATTTTGGCTCTTTAGTTAGTTCCCTAGAGATCACACCTGAGGTAATGAAACATAAGACTCTGAAGATGTAAGTAGCTCAAATGTGAAAGAGAAAGTGGCAAAGAGCACAGCGCAGCACTGTGCCTCCGTGGCAGGTAATTTTCAGAACAATTATAGAAATGAGGTCGTACGGACAGTGAGGAACTGTAAATCTTTCCTTTACCTGTGGTTCTCAACCGTCTGGCCCTTTATTTTTTTATTTCATTTTAAAAAATAAACTTTATTGATTTTTTACAGAGAGGAAGGGAGAGGGATAGAGAGCTAGAAACATGGATGAGAGAGAAACATCGATCAGCTGCCTCCTGCACCACTCCCCACTGGGATGTGCCTGTAACCAAAGTACATGCCCTTCACCGGAATCGAACCTGGGACACTTCAGTCCGAAGGCCGATGCTCTATCCACTGAGCAAAATCGGCCAAAGCAACCTTCTGGCCATAAACAAAATTATCAATATATACTGGATATAAATCACACTTATTAATCAGTAAGAAGATATAGTTTTTTTAAAATGTAAAAATGATAAGGACAGGCATTTCACAAGAGAAAAAATCCAACTGACCACAAAATACACAAGGATTTCAACCTCACCTGTGCTGAGGAAAATGAAAAATAAGGGTAAAGAATATTGGGCCATTCACATTGCTGAAAATTATGAAATTTTATAATGTCCTATTAAGTACTGGCAAAGATTTAAGGCGTGGATGATCCCCACATATCACATACTATGTAGCAGGCATGCATCTAAATGCTTTACATAGTGCATTTTCATTTTTTTTAGTACGACTTGTGGACAAATGGGAATTTTTATATATAAGATAATATCCACCCAATCAATTGCCTGTCATTATTCTTTTTAGATGCCTAAATTAAACTAAACATAGGCCCAACAGGTCATGTTCCTTGAAGTATGACCTTGAA